ACCACCATCAATTACCCTATCTGCATTCTTTCTCTTCACAAATCTTCAGTTGATCCATCTCATCCAGTGAACTCATTGTCTCATGAGAACATTCCAGGGGGGGAAAGGTAAGTAGTCAGTCAGATGGAAATTGGATGAATTTTTATATCCTCCTCCCTTCCCTTCAACCTGTATCTCTACTTTAACATTTTGGAAGACAAGTTTTACATTGTGTACTAAACCTGATCTTTAACTTTAAACATTGAAATAAGCCTCCCTGAAACTACTACTGTAAGTGGAGGAGGGAAGCAGGGCTTCCCAACCCCGGGGATCGCCAAGATCACACTTGGGGTCGCAAACCTGCAACTAAATGCAAGTTATGTTTTGTTTGCAATTTTAGTGCATATGTGGGGGAGCCTGCCTGGGGTCCTGAATGGTATGATTGTAATTTTTGGGGGTTGCATGCAAAAAAAGTTGGGAAACTCTGCCCCACAGGGTGTCAGAATATGAGTTGGTACTGTCATTTTTGCACTCCTTGGATACTATAAATTCTATGCTATGCTGGTGTCCCCTGGACTTACAACAGTGGGATGTGGGCCGGGGTGGTCCTAGCTATTTCAGTGCCCTGTGCAAAGAGACTCTCAACACCCAACACCCAATGCCCCCCCTCCCTTTCCCCCAGGCAGAAGGGTCAATCTCTAGCATTGAAAAAGTCTCTGAAACAGATGACATTTCCTCTTACTGAAGTAAAACTGAAGTTGGCATCCTTTATTGCTTCATTCATTCAGGCACATTTTGGCACCCCTGGTGAATTAGCACCCTGTGCATGTGGCTCATGTCTAAGGCTGGTCCTGGATATGGGTTGGGGAGACGTTGTCCTCTCTTGCCAGTAACACATTAAAGACCAATGATCCAACAACTTCATACACAATGGTCAGGATGATAGAAGTTTCCATGGAAACACACTCACTTTGGATACTTAACCCTATGGGGTCCAAGTATTTTGAATGTGTCAACACCATCATCCAAGTTTTTTCTATCCTTCATCATGAGGCCAACACAAGATAACTCAGGTGTGGACCCCATAAGGTTAATGGTTATGGCCTCCTTGCACTCCATGGATGGTGCAAGATCTTTTATCCTCTGTCTTTCCTCTGTCCTGTTTCATCTCTTTGTGCCTGGAGTCTATGATATATAAAACATTACACAAGTAAGCACACTCTGCAGATCTGCCTCAAATGTCAAAAATCCACCCTAAAAATAGATAAAAACACTCCTCTCATCAGGGAGTATGCCAAGCTCCCAGCTTTATAGGTAATCACAACGTGACCTTTGACAATTTTGTTCACCCTCCCCCTTTCCCTGCTACTCTCTGGACCCTGATACTGTAAACCCCTAGCAAATGGATTTAAAATACCATATTCTCACTATTGTGCCCGAGTACAATGCAACAACAAAGGAAGAGCATTTTGCTTTTGAAGTCACATGTCCCTGGGAGAAGAATACATTTTTGAAAGTCGAGTTCTTCAAGCAAAAGTGTGATTCAAGGACTCCACAGTGATTTTCGATTCATCCTACTGTGGCGGAAGCGATAATGAATTATTTTCCCCTTTAGTCACTATATTTGCCAAGGAGTGATATAGGGACAAGGTATGTTAATACGTTGGATGACATGCGGCGCCGTTCCAGGGGGGATTGCAATCTATTGAAAATCACTGTATATGGGTTAACGGCCCATAGTTGGCACGAAGTTAACGTTAGGCCTACAAGGTCATCGGACACGTGTGGATGCCTCATCGTAACGCTTAGGCGTCGTCCAGAGTCTCTAGGGTGAAATTTTGCACGTTCCCATATCAGGGTCCACAACGACTTTTTTTCACATCACACGCCTCACTTCGAACCAGAAGGTGGAAAAGCGAAAACACAGACTCAAGTTGCCTCTCACACTTCAACACATGGACGACACGAAGATAGACACTCTTGGCAAGGAACTTACCAAGCCTTCACGGGAAATTTAGAGTAAATGCAATCAGAGGCAAGCAATCAAATTTTCTTTTACTGACTGGAACACAACTTCCATGGAATCCATGAAATTGGGATTTCGATATCTCAACCTTGGGGGAAAATCGCTATGCATTTCCTGGGTTAGGGTTGAAGAAGTCGAAGAATTTCTTGAGGATCTCATGTCCATTTTAATAGAAACAAAAATATGAATGAAAGAATTCTAAACTCATTGAGGGGGGAGGGGAGTCCAAAGCCAACCTCCTCCCCTGACTCTCCTGTTGGTGCGCCCATCACCAGGGCCGGCCCTAGCCAGACCTAGCTGACTGAACGCCCCTCGGGGAGGGGAGAAGAGTCAATCCCTAACGTTCAAAATGACGCCGAAACGGGTGGCATTTCCTCTTCTAAGTTAAAACTGAGGATGGCTTCCGGATTATTGCTTCATTTTTTCACGTTTTGGCGCCCCTGGTGAATTTGCGCTCTGTGCTGGGGCACATGTGGCACATGCCTAAGGTCGGCCCTGCCCATCACATCTCTTCGCGGGCCCTCGTTTAAACACGTGCAACCATGTATTGCCCCGCACGGTGATGGATGCTGCCCACCCTGTCGCCAATGGGGGAAAGATCGCGGCATGGTTTTTTTTGGCACCTGGGGGAATTTTTAAGGTAACACTCGCCGTCTTCTGATTGCTGCATACATGTGTGTTGATGCATACATATGCCACGAGATGCTAGCAATGGTTGTTTCCCTTGTGTTCAACGGCTAGTCTCGGGGGGACCAGGGGGCATGTGTCCTTTCCCCCCCCCCCCAACTTGTTCCATCTGCACTTATGCTTGTGCTACTACGTAGTATATGACGACACCATCTACCTTCATCATCGATTGTATTCTTTCTCTTCTTACCTGTGCCTGTTTCTAATCTCAGTGATAAGCCAGCCTAGACGTATCAGTAGGCTTCTTATGGTTACTTCGGGCGAAAATTTACGGTAGGGCTAGGCCAAAATAATTTGAGGAGAGGGAGGCTTTTTCTCATCCTTTTTTTTTTTCCTTTTAGCAAATTTCCCTTCTCAATAAATAAAATTTTTTTAAAGTCACTCATGAAATACGAAGGGTGATTGAAATGTTCTAAGCCCGAGGAACTTCCAGTTGCAATACACCATTCTTACTTTCCTTATGAGAAGACTGATGTCTTTGATGGTGACGGGCAAATTTTCATCTTATTCGTCGATTAAATCTAACTTCGATGAATTTTTTTCCATGTGCCACCAAAGGGTCTGCTGAAAGAATATCAAAATTGAGAACAATTCCGCGATTAATTGTCCCATCTCTTAGGAGTCGATTTTCTAGCTCAGGGGTATCAAACTCAATTCGGTCGGCCGAATTCCTGCCAACCGAATTGAGTCTCGCCCATTCCTTACCATGCAGATGCCTGAGGGTCGCACCCATACTTTTTTCACCGAAGTTTGTGCGGACAGTCAATCCAAGTGGAAATTTTAAGAACAGACTGCCGGCCGGATGAACCACCCACACAGCACAGGTATATCCCAAAGATATCCCCTTGGGACAAGTGCGATGTCCCAGAGGCAAGGAGTAGGGACATCTGAGGGATATCAAAATGTCTGGGCCCGATGACATCCTAAGGATGTCCCTTTCTTGAAGGAACTAGCACATCCCAGAGATGTCCCAGAGATATCCCTTGGGGACAAGTCCCAGACGTTACCCCAATAGCAAGGGATCATCCCAAGGACGTCCCAAAAAGATCCTGACGTCCCATGTCCCGTAGCAGATATCCCATGGGCATACGAGGGATGTAGCACGAAGGACGTCCGTTTTCCTCACCTTCTTAGATCTCCTTTGGATGTTCCAGGGATATTATGTGGGACGTCCGAGGGATTATGTTAGTGTATAGCCACAGGACACCCCTCGGACCTCCCTGCACTCTGCCAAAGAAAATCTCACTGGACTTTCATCTGTTTTATATTCAACAAGTACACCCTCTTGAACACCATGTACAGATTTACGGACATTCGGATTCAAATAATACACGAATGATAAGAACTAAGTAATTAATAATAATAATAAATAAAAATAAGGGGAAAATAGGGAGGAAAATTCATAGTAGATTACAATTTTTGGGAATATATTTGTGGAGACAACCGCATCGCGAAAGCACTGTATGAAGCCAATGACAAACAAGGAAACTGGGCACCGGTAGATGGCGGAATCCGCGCCATGAGCTGTGAAATCCTTCTAGTGACAGAGCAAGGCCGCAAGAGGGCCTGGTTACTTCCGTCCCTGTGTTCCTTGCATTTTATCCCGAAAACCTCGTAACTTTCCTTCAGTTATAGCTTTGCTTATCCTCCCTTTAGTTTCAACTCCAACCCTTCGTGAAGCACCACGGAGTGCAACGGCTAGATTTCCCTTGGACAAGGATTTTTACCATTTGTATCATGGCAGACGTGTCCTCGTAGCCCTCTGACCTGTTAATTCCTTTCACTTCTCTTCTTTTACTTTTTAAGTTATGTCTGAATAGGTGCCCTGCAGAGGAAGAGCCTCAATATGAAGACATTTATATATTTTTATTATGGGTACTGTGGAAACGGAAGAGAAACAAGACTTTTTACAGGCCTAATATTAATTCTGGGCGTAAACTTAATAATCAATTCGAAATTAGACCAGTCTACTTATGCTGAGGAAGGGGTCCACAAGTACCTTGTGCGCCTCCCCTCCCCCTGCATCCCCTTCTGGTCAGTGCCTATACCATGAAAATTCCCCCAGATAGGCAAAACAATATGGTGATTCATAAGTGCTCAGGCATTAAAGGCTTGATTTGTATTAAGTTACGTTTTCATATGCAACCAATATTCAATCAGCAAGGAGTAGGTGTAGGAATCAGGTAAGCCTAGGGACCCTTTAGCAATACTTGGCCTTTGTCTGAACTGAGGTGGTGTTGACATATGGTGAGTCTACCTTGAGGTTAGTTACAATTGTGATTTATCATTGCTGTGGCCTAGTATACATCAAGGGGCATTAATGTGTAGCAAGTGGTTGCTACAGCCTAAAGTAGGCCTTTGTACCCATTTTAAGCAATCTTTGGCTTATTTCTTGTCATATTAAACATGCACATCACTCTTGCTGATGGCCTCAGATGGAAGTAGCTCCTTTCCATTGATAATTATGCCAAACCCTTCCATTGGAATTGGCATGAATAGCCTGTTCACTTCAGAGCGTTTAATTTCTCTCTCTGTGTGGAGCATGGAGCTTTCCTCTGTCAGGAAAGGAGATGGTGTCAAAAATGTTAGCAATAATAACTTGGTAGGGCTAAAGCGTACATGGATGCCATTTTAAATGCTACTAAGAGCCACTGAATTCATTCAACAGGATGGTGTAATCAATGAATAAGTGAAACACGAAGGGCTTACCATGTAGTAGGCCTCTCACAATTAGAATGTATGTCTCTGAAATGCTTTTCTCTCACCTAAACTTTAGAAGAGGCATTTGCTGAGTTTCTCATGTTGAAGGCATGCATTTCTTGGCCAATCTGGTAGTGAGGTGAAAAGCAATCAAATGGCATATAATTATGACAGAAAATGCTTTGCTCTGTGTTTTTCAGTTGCTTCTAGTAGTGCCTGCTGATTGTTTCATAATGAAGAGAGCTGGTTTTTGGTCAAATGGAATGCAATTGAAGAAGCTCTTCCTGGCAGAAAGCCCCCCTAGGAGTAGTACAACAAGACATAGATGTGTGACAGAGAAGACCAAGGAGCTTATTAAAGCATCAGAGAATGATGAATATTCACATGCTCATAATCAGACTGTCTCCCTATCAGGTGGTGCTACTGATGCCAATCATAGCTTAGATATTGGGTCACATCAGTCATCTGATGATTCTATTTCAGAAGAACTAGGGAGCAGTGTCTTGTCAGCAGATCCAGTTTTTTCTTAAAGATTTCTTTCTGTGACTAATGAGGTGGATCCATTCCCAATTAGGTCTTTCTTTGCTGAATTTTCTGATGCTCCTTTTCCTATGGAAGTTGAGAGAGATGTTGACCTCAAAGATTCTATTGTTGTTGAGCTTTGTGATTGGCATATGGAAATGGAAATATTTCTCATAGTAGTTTGAACAATCTTCTGAAGATCTTGCAAAAGTGGATTCCAGAACTTCCTACCGATGCAAGAACCCTGCTTGGAACATATGACAAAAGGGTCCCAAGAAATGTTATAGTTGAAATGGATGGGGGTCAGTGTGTTCATTTTGGTCTGCATGATGGCATTATAGATGCAGTTGAAAAGTACAGGTCTTATCCAATTCCATTCCATTCATCAGTGACTCTCATGATTGGAATTGATGGTCTGCCCTTGCATAAAAATTCTGTTCACCATTTTTGGCCTATCTTATGGTTCATTCCAGAACTCCAGATGCATTATCCTGTCATCATTGGAGTATGGTGTGGTGAGGGAAAGCCTATGGTAGCAAATTTTTTTAGTTCTTTTCTGTATGATCTGCTGCAATGCCAGCAAGAAGGGGTAGTCTTTGATGGGAAGCACATTGATATTAGTGGTGTCATCTTTATCTGTGATGCTCAAGCAAGGTCCTACCTCAAGTGCATTGTGAATCACAATGGCCGTCATGGTTGTGAGAGGTGTACAGAAGAGGGAGCCTACATCAAAAGGCAGATGACTTTTTGGAAACTGAAGGGTCAGAAGAGGACTGACCACTCATTTCGTAAGCAGGCAGATCGCAAGCACCATATTGGTAGATCCCCGCTTCTTATGCTCCCCATCAACCTCATTATGAGCTTCTGATGACTTTTTGGAAACTGAAGGGTCAGAAGAGGACTGACCACTCATTTCGTAAGCAGGCAGATCGCAAGCACCATATTGGTAGATCCCCGCTTCTTATGCTCCCCATCGACCTCATTATGAGCTTCCCATTGGAATATATGCATTTAGTTCTTCTAGGAGTTGTCCGGAGACTAATCAAGTTTTGGATGACTGGACCCCAGCGTATCCGTTTCAGACCCAGAGCAGTAGCAATTCTTGCTCGTAAACTCCTCAATTGTAGGAAATATATTCCCTCAGATTTTGCACGCAAGTGTCGAGATATCCGAAGGTGGAAAATGTGGAAAGCCACAGAACTTAGGCTCTTTCTCCTCTATTTGGCTCCTGCAGTCCTCAGAAAGGTACTTCCCAGGAAGTTATATCAACATTTTCTGCTGCTCCAAGCTGCAATTTACAAGGAACAAAGTGGACAGGTAGTAAACCTTATGACGTAATCCCGATTCGAGAAGGAGGATGTCAAACACCTCGAGACAGGAAGGAATATACCACTTCTTTACCAACACATGTTACATGTAAGTGAGTATCACTTAGCAGATGATGTGGAATATCATCAGAAGCCACTTGATGAGCTTTCTGCCTTTCGCTTTGAGAATTTCCTATTCTATATGAAGGGTCTTCTTAGGGGTCATCATATGCCTCTTCAGCAGCTCAAAAATAGGATGCATGAAAGAAAACACATGTATCGGCAGCCATCCCTTCAAAATCTAAAGAAGTCGTCACTCCCACATCGTCCACTTCAGCTCCCTGTTACTGTACTAGGACGAAAATTTAGAGCAGTCAAATTTGGTTCCATCACAATTAGAACATCCAGTCCAGACAATGCTACAATCTTGGTAAATGGCCAAGTTATGAAAGTTAAGTTCCTTGTGGAATTCTCATGATGGAAAGAATCTGTCAATAATTGGGAGGTGTTTCCAGCATTATGCAGGCCTCAAGTATTTTCCTTGTCTTTCATTTGACTTGGGAATTTCCAAAGTCAAAGACTTGAGTGTATATTACTGTGCACAAAGAGGATATTCTTCAGAAAACTGTGCTGTTGCCCTTCATAGGGGCTTGGCTTCTGGCCATTCCTTTGCTGCACACTGAACAATTCAGTGATGTCTTTGCCTGGAGTATTTTTTTTGGAAGTGTCTTTGCTGCAACAGCGGCTGCTCATTGTGTACCTGAATACCAAAGAATAATTCCATGGATGATTATTCCTTTGATCATAGAGGTCTAAAAGTAAAATCCACAAAACACATGATGAGAGTGGAGAGGCAGAGGTCCCAGCAAAGGAGGAAAGCTCATGAAGGTACTACACTTCAACGAGGTAACGTATCGTTCTTCAACTTCTGTTCCGTTTCACGATCGAGACCAAGATCATGACGACCAAGTTCACTCCTGTAGGAACGACGACACCTGAGACTAGACGTAAGAAGTCGTGAGTATGTTTTGTTTTAGTGAAATTGCCAATCAGAATCAATGAATGGTGTTGTATTAGCCAGCGTTTTTCCTGCAGTTGAAAGGATCTCCCATCCTCTCTGGGAAACCATGACTGTAGCTTTTGCCAGGTTGTATTCAATATCTTGATAAGTATGATCACTTAAAGCTTTTGAAGCTAATGTAAGATGTGTGCTAGCCCCAGTTAAATGTCACTTTGCTCATGATAATGGGCCTAGCTGATCATTCCATGTTATGGTACAATGGCCACAATATGACAGTGTGCCCACTTTTCTAGTCTAAGAAGTGTTACATAAATGGTGTGTATTCCTAGGCATAACAAAGAACACTATAGTACTGATACTTATATATTTTAGAATGCCTAGATCAAGTAGAGGGCCCTCAGTTGATGCTGATGTGAGGTATTCAGTCTTCTCAAGCTCAAAGGCTGCCTCATCTTCCATGTCTCAAGGTCATCCTTTTGCTCGATCTTCTGCTGGAGGCTCATTGCCTCTCATGAGACATTCTCCTAAGAGTGCAGGTAAGACTGTGGCCCCTGGTAAAGTTTTCAGTTTTACTGTGAATAACATTTGCAATAAACTTACTATTAGACCTTCATCACTATAGTCGAGTAGAAAGAGGGCATGAAAAATATATACACATCTTAGATGAGGCTACTTAGAAGGCAACACATCTGAAACTTCCAAGCCCTCCAGACCCTGTTGTACAATTGACATTGTGATCTGTACAGAAATATACAGAAATGTTCTCTGTACAGAGCTATACTTTTCATTTTGCTGTCTGCTTCATTGCAGGCTTACCAGAGCCACTGATCAAATTGATTGTCCACATTCATGAGACTACAAGAGAGAATCATAAGCTCCTGAAATCCCTTCTTGAAGTCATTGAGAAAAAGCCATTTGATTTTGGATCTCATACTGAGCCTCCATTCAGCTGTCCACAGCTCCCTGTATTGGATGAGGAGGGGTTGGAGAAACTGGAGCTGTGTCTTTCTGATCAAGATGATAGAGAACAAATGGTGGGCTGCACACATCTAGTGATGCCTCTATCCAGGCCTGAGAATTATATCTAGAAAGTGATGTAATTTTAATGTTACTACATACTGTATTTTTGTATTGCATTACTGGAGGAGTCTCCATTTAAAATATAGACCAGATGAATTTGCTAAATCTACTCTGCATCTCAGGCTAAAGTAATTTTCATGCATGCATTCTCACAGTGGGCAGTAATTGTTAGTAATTTTACTTTTCACCTGTTTTATTTTGCTAAGGTTGCTAAG